TTGCCTGAATTGACTGCAGGAGAGGACAGTGTTCCAGAGACCAGTGTGTTCCAGGTACACACCCACACCCCACAAATGCCACCCAACCACCCAACATACCCTATGCGCCCCACACAGCCACACCCCCTCACAAAGTCCCCCCATACCCACCATAAACACCCCCACACTCTCCCCACCCACACACCCACCTGCCCCCGACCACACACACCCAACCACACCCCTCCACATAATATAAAAGACTAAGAATTTATTTTTCAGTTATTATGCAATCACTTCTTATACAGTACACAAATACAAATCATGACAAAAATATCTTTTGTAACAATGTTATAGTAGGTGTTTGACTTCTAGTGTATGATTTGATTTTTTCTGGTTCTAAGATGGCAGCCCTGCCCCCTCCTAAAAGGAGTATTTGGGGGGGAAGGGGAGAAACTTCTGGTTGCAAATGCCAGGGGTGGGGCTTCTAGTCTCAAGATGGCAGCCAGGAGCAGGGCACCTGACAAGGGGCAGGCTTACTCATGCAGCCCTTGACAGCTCGCCAAACCTCATTAAGTGGCCCTCTGCCAGAAATCATTGCCTCCACCTTGCCCTAAGCAGTAGGGCTATGCGAAGCTTTGGTCCCTGATTCGATTTGGTGGAGATATGGCCCAATTCGGTGGCCAAATTTCTGAATCTGAATCAAATCAGGAAACCCTTTAATCTCTCCGAATCAAATTAGAACCCACCAAATTGATTTGGAGTGATTCAGAGACTTGGACACAGATACAGCTTTAAATGTTTTTTCTATATACCTCAAGGTACAAGGCAGCTCGTGAATGCTGAGATGCTGGGACGGATGGAGCGTCTCACAGGAGTACAGGGGGTCCCCAGCACGCTTGGCAGAAGACCCAGAAGCAGACCAAAGCACTTCCACTTCTGGGTCTGCCAGGGAGTGCGCTGGGAGGCTCCCCTCTTGTCCACCCAGCTCAGTGACTGATGCCTCCTGGGGACTGAGGAGGCACCTGGGATCCCCCTTGTGGCTGACTGCCTACCTGAAGGGGCCCCCCTGTGCACTCCCTGGTGGACCCAAAAGTGGACTGGAAGTACTTATGGTCCACTTCTGGGTATGCCGCCGAGAACGCTGAGGAGCCCCCCACGCTCCTGTGGGACGCTCCATCCGCCCCAGCATCACAGCGTGCATGAGCCACACCTGGTTAACCTTTTTATTTAACCAGTGTAATTTCTTATCTTGTGATTGTAAATTTTAGCATACAGTAGTCTCATTTAATATAGGTATTAGATGCTATTCTTTGGGCTGTTAATTTCACATATAATATATTCATCATATGTTAATTTTTATGTGCAAATTTAATCTCACACAAAAATACTGACCACTTTCCTTACATTATATATTATGCCTCAGTGAAGATGCAGTCATGTCAGAGTCACTTGTTGAAAAAATACAGAAATCATACTAAAAAATGGATTGAAGTTACAGAGGCTTGACCCCAACTATAGGAGCATGTAGACAATAACAATTCCATTATAACAATTTATACTGGCATAATTCCACAAGAAACTAACAGTTATGTCTGTCCACGTTGGAGTTATTGCAAAACAGCTATTCAGGAATAGGTATTCTTAATAACCAAGCGTGGGGATACTTGTGTATTAAGTTATAACAGAAAAGTGGCACTTGCTTTAGAATAAGAGCACATAAACATGAAGTTCTTCTGGAACTGTACTACTGCATTTTAACTGAACCTGGCATAATTTTCTACGCAGATATGATCCATGTGAAAAATTTGTCTTGGGCAGAAGCTTGAAGTGTTACTGGTCTGTGATAGGTTGGATAACTGTGTTAAAGTATTAAAGTAAAAAGGACAACATCCTTCCTGCACTAATCTAGTAACCTCCATCTTGAAAAGTTAGAAAATACAATTTCCCCACTTCTGGTCTTTTATAAGGTGCTATCTATTACTTACAGTGCCCACACCATGATTTGGACCTCTCAGTACAGGCTGAAACCTGTAACCTACAAACATAGGTATGTCAATGGGTACAACATCCAGCAATAGCATGTCCATGGAGCTGTTGTGCTAGAAAATTTGCTATTTTTTAGATTTGCTTTGCCAACGGAAAACAAAGCTGAGGAGCTCGCCGATGCTGATAAATGGGCTTGCTTAGGGAGTCACGAAGAAATCACAATTCTTTGAATAAACCTTCCTGCAAGCCCCAGAGTCTCTTCCCACCTCCCCAACCTGGCTGCTCTCCTGGTCTGACCCCAGCTCTCCTGCTGCGAAGTGTCCCCCTGCCACTGCCACGTCTCGGTGTTATTGTTGTCTGTGTTGCATCCAGAAATACTACAGGCTGGGGCCTCCCACAGCCAGGACAGCTCCACAGCTCAGGTTCACTCAGACCTGTGCATGCCCCTGGAGGGGGGACAGGCCACGACCCAAACCCTCCCCACCAGGGCAAGCTCAGGCTGCTAGGAAGGGGGTTAAGGCCCCAGGGACAGCTAGCGAGGGGTGGGGGGGGCGGTTCCTCCTGGGGGGCCAGGCCAGGTCAGCCTCCCCTTGCCCCTCGGGTGCCCGTGTGGGGGGAGGGGTCCAGGGGGGTCACACTCTGGCAAGCGGGCAGGGGGGCCCAGGGAGGCAGAGGGACCCGTCAGTCCTGTCCGGGGGGCCTCTGGCGAGGTGGGGCCCATGCCGGGGCGGGGAGTGTCCGCCCGCGCCGCCCTCACCTTCTTGATGTTGGACTTGGAGGCTGGGTGAAAATCCTTCTTGCACATGAAGTTAGCGAATGACTTCCCCATGATGGCGGCGACAGCGGCGACGGCTACGACTGAGAGCGCCGCTGCCCCGAGCCCGGCCGCGTCCGCGC